CTGAGTTTTGGTTGGTTATATCAGGATGTATGCAGACATATCAGGAAATCTGTCCCGTCATGTGTCAGCAGTGCCTCTGAGCAGACCACACAGAGAACCAGGACAATCTCAGCTCAAGAGAATAAATGGACAACCATCTGACAATAAAAATGCAAGATACAAAAAGGCAGTATCAGAACACTTCTGTCTCAAAGGGCATTACATCACTGAAGCCAAGATGGCTATTGGAGATTCAAAATAAGATTTGAACAGGCAATGAATAACTGTTTTGGGGAGAAAGATACTAGATTTTGCTATAATAGGGGAATACTAAACTAGAGGGAAATAAGGAAGCAAAAACTTTCAAGTAACTTTCTTTTCTTTAGGATTATAATTGGCTGAGTTTTACCTATACACCTCCTGGGTGTTGTTTTTTTTTTCAAGTTGTAACGGTACAGAGATTTCTTGAGAGCTTCTGTCAGTGGCATCACAAGGGGTGTGTGGACCACACCTGGTAACGCCATCAGAGGAGGTGACACCAAAATGACTGTCTTTCCCAGAGTGGGCACTCCCCCCAAGCCCTCCACCTGCTCCAGGTGGGAAGAGCAGCCAATGAGCAGATGGTCTTTCCCCTCCCCTCCTCTCCCCTTCCTCCCTTTCCCACAGCCACCCAAAACCCTCTCAGCTATGGTCTCTTTTGATCCTGCAGCCTGTGGCACTGAACCAGGCACTGGCTCAATGCCACTGCATTTTTCAAATGAGTTTCCTGCTGTTGGGGGTGAAGGCATCCAGGTACAAGAGCCTTTCCTTTTCTTGCTGCTACTTGAATTTACATTTTACTGTCTTCCGTCTAAATCCCAACGTGACCCAGAAGAAAAAGATCTTTGTCTACACTGAGACACCTCCAGACCAACTGACCAACAACAGAAATAGAAACTGTAGGCCTGTGATGCCTATACATTCACTTTTCTTTTCTTCTCCTATATACAGTCAGTCCCCGAGTTACAAACATCCGACTCATAGTTAAGTACAGGGCTGAGACAACCGTGAGAGAAGTCTTTCCCTCAGAAGGGAAATTCTCTCCTGAAAAAGTTATCGCCTATGCTTGTTTTCACAACATGCCACATTTTTCAAAATCCAATTATCACAGGGACAGAAAGTCAGGTGAAATCTTTCGAACAGGGGCACAGAAAGCAAAACAAACACCACAGTGGTGTTAACCCTTGCCTATGCTATCCAAAGCTGAAGAATATATATTTTTGGCTAGAGTTACACTTTTAAAAATGTACCTGTTCCAACTTACATACAAATTCAACTTAAGAACTGAGTCTCACTGAACAGAGGCAAGTATAACTCTGAGAGACAATATCATACTCTCCACCTCAATAACTGTCAACTAGAAAACGAGAACACATAAGAAGTGAATTTATGTGATTTTGTTTATTGTAATTTTATATCATTATGTATTCATATGTGTTATGTAATTATTATGTTGTTGTTTATTTTTCGGTTTTATTCTGCTGTAATTTGTTGTCTGGAGATGGTGGCGGGGTATAAATAAAGTATTATTATTATTATTATTTAGCAGAGAAAAACATAAAGCTATTGATAAAATACTACTCATTCTCTGAGAAGAGAACCTTGGTTCTTAAATAATATCTCCATTACCATCTATGCTACCAAAAGAGACTGAAATTTTGACTTTATTTGGGAATACTTTGTTACACTTGATATCTTGAAAAAGAACTCCAACGCCCTATCTACACTGCCATATAAAATCCAGAGTATCTGCTTTGAACTGGATTGTATGGCAACGTAGACTCATATAAATCCAGCTCAAAGCAGATAATATAGATTATATGCTTTGAAAATCTGGATTATATGGCAGTGTAAAAGAGGCCCAAGTCTAAACCAAAATGCAATTGTTTCCATACACCTTATGTTCATACCTAAAGGTAATGTTGTACAATACTGAAAGTGTCCGGTGCTGAACAATTAGAAAGCAAAGGTGTCACTATCTCAACCAACCAAGTGGATAATTAGAAGTGGTTTGTGATTTCAAATTCACATCAGGGATGCTCAACCTGTATCAGCTCTCCAAACAGGCATTTGAAGCCATGGAAGAGTTTCATAAGCATGAGAATGAGCAAGAATGGATACACACATTTGCAATGCACTAAATCAAATACAGGCAACCCTCAAGTGATGAACAAGATTTATATTCACTGCTGAAATCAAAAAGTATGTGAACACTTCAAATGCATCACATCAGGCCCAATACAGATGCTGCATTGTTAATAAAATAGAGTAATTGTTAATTATTAATAATAAATGCATGTTACTAAAATAGAATAATTATTAATTATTGCATTGTTAATAAAATAGAGTAATAATAAAATATAATAACATATAATAATAAATTATTATTATTAATAAATGCATGGTTAATCAAATAGATTAATAAATGCTAATTATTAATAGATGCATTGTTAATGATATAGAATAATAATGGTTATTAATAAATGCATTGTTAATAAAACAGAATACTACTAATAAAATATAATAATAAATTATTAATAAATGCATGGTTGGTAAAATAGATTAATCCATGATAATTTTATCAAATGCATCGTTAATGAAATGGAATAATAATTAATGATTATTAATAAATGCATAGTTAATAGACTATTAATAATATTAATATAATAATAATTAATAAATGCATTGTTAATAAAATAGAATACTATTTAATAATTATTAATAAATGAATTATTAATAATCTTTATTAATAAAATAAATAATAATAATAAATTAATAATTATGGGATCTGCACACATTATTTTCCAGTACATCACACAGTCCTAGACACTTTGGAAATATCCGACGTGTGATCTAATTCAACAGCTAGCAGAGTTTGTGCTGTGGACTCATCTTGTTGTGTTTCAAATAATAATATAATTAATGATTATACAAGCCACGAGAATAAAGATGAAGATCCACCCAGAGGAAAAGTGTTCTTGCCATACATCAAGGGAACCATTGACCACATAGGGAAGCTGATGAGGAAACACAACATACCAACTATCTACAGACCCACCAGGAAAATCCAACAAATGCTACGTTCAGCAAAGGACAAGAGGGATCCTCTCACCTCTGCAGGAGTCTACCGTATACCATGCAGCTGTGGACAAGTCTACATAGGGACCACCAAACGCAGCATTGCCCAAACACGAAGCAAGGAACATGAAAGGCACTGCAGACTACTTCAACCAGAGAAGTCAGCCATAGCAGAGCACCTGATGAACCAACCTGACACAGCATTTTATTTAAGAATACAGGGTGAGTTTTTTTCAGGGGGGTTTCGGGGGGCTGAGTAGGGGGCTGAGCCTGAGAGAAAGAGGGTCTACCCTAGCAAACCTTTTGTATCATTACCCCAATACCCCCATGCATATGGGATATATTGAGTATGGTGATCAGATCATGATATGAATAAACATAACAGTTTAAATAATGCACCAGTAAGGCCTTTTCGCAAACCACCATGAGAATTTGGGGGGGGGGGCTGAAGCCCCTCAAGCCCCCCCCCCCCCCCCCCCCCCCCCCGAACCCACCTGGACTCAGCATATTATTTGAGAACACAGAAATGGTGGACCACTCTCACAACCACCATGTCAGACTCCACAGAGAAGCCATTGAAATCCACAAGCATGTGGACAATTTCAACAGAAAGGAGGAAACCATGAAAATGAACAAAATCTGACTACCGGTATTAAAAAAAGCTCTAAAATTACAACAGCACAACAACAGAGAGGAAACAAACAAGGACATCTAATCACCTCTCAACAAAAGTTTGCTCTAGGCCAGTGTTTCTCAACCTTCCTAATGCCGTGACCCCTTAATACAGTTCCTCATGCTGTGGTGACCCCCCAACCATAAAATTATTATTTTTGTTGCTATTTAATAACTGTAATTTTGCTACCATTATGAATCGTAATGTAAATATCTGATCTGCAGGATGTATTTTCATTCACTAGACCACATTTGGCACAAATACCCAATACACCCAAATTTGAATACTGGTGGGGTTGGGGGGATTAATTTTGTCATTTGGGAGTTGTAGTTGCTGGGATTTGTAGTTCACCTACAATCAAAGAGCATTCTGAACTCCACCAACAATGGAATTGAACCAGACTTGGCACATAGAACTCCCATGACCAAAGAAAATGCTGAAACAGTTTGGTGAGTTTGGGAGTTGTAGTTCACCTACATCCAGAGAGCACTGTGGACTCAAACAATAATCAATCTGGACCAAACTTGGCATGAACACTCAATATGTTCAAATGTGAACTCTGGTGGAGTTTGGGGAAAATAGACCTTGACATTTGGGAGTTGTAGTTGCTGTGATTTATAGTTCACCTACAATCAAAGAGCATTCTGAACCCCAACGATAGAATTGGGCCAAACTTCCCACACAGAACCCCCATGACCAACAGAAAACGTATATTTTTACGGTCTTCAGCGACCCCTCTGACACCCCCTCGTGACCCCCCCCAGGGGTCCTGACCCCCAGGTTGAGAAACACTGCACTAGGCAATGTCAGGCCATTATATGCTAATCAAGGTGGTCAGTTGAAACATTCACACCTAGCTCCAGCAGACAAGAGTCCTTTGTCCCTCCCTGGTCATTCTACAGATATATAAACCCCTTTTTCCTAGTTCCAGCAGACCTCACTACCTCTGAGGATGCTTGCCATAGATGCAGGCGAAACGTCAGGAGAGAATGCCTCTAGACCATGGCCATATAGCCCAAAAAACCTACAACAACCCACTTAATGATTATAATCATTAAGTGGGTTGTTGTAGGATTTTTTGGGGTATATTATTGATAATTGTATTATTAATACAAGGCATGACTGTGGTTGCTATTCTCCTCCCCTCCCTGAGCAGTCCTGGGGCCCTTCTTGTCCTTCGGAGGAGGGGGGGTGTCTTTGGCTGCCCTCCATCCCCGCATAAGGGACTCACACTTCAGCCACCGGGCTCCGGCGTGGGTGTCCTTGCCCTGGATGAGCCTCTTCTGGGTGTTTCGGCGGCAGATGTACCAGGCCATCCAGAGCACCTGGAGCAGCATCAGGGTGATGAGATAGGCGAAGACGGCAGCCTTGGAGGCGCCGACGGCGTGCACGGCCCAGGCCAGCATCACCAGCAGCCCCGCCAGGAAGAGGTGCAGCCCGTACTGGCTGCTCAGCGTCTCCGCGTTCTTCTGCGGGTAGCCGCTTTTGGGACGCGGGGGAGAGGGCGGCGGAGGCGGCGGAGGGGGGACCTCGCCCGCCCCATCCAACTCCCAGCCCTCCGTCGGGGCTGGAGAGCTCTTCTTGGAGCGGCCCATGCCCCAAGCAGCGCGCGGGGAACTCTCTCCGTCCCGGAGCCTTTGGCTTCCCGCCTCACGTCGGAAAACTCTCCCCAAACGGATTCCTTGGGAGTCTGCCCCGGGGGGCTTATAAGCGGCGGGGAAAATGATGTCACTCGCGCGGCGTCGGGTTTCCACTCCCGTTTCGCGAAGTCCCAACGACTGGCACGCCTTGAGCGGGAAGCAGCCCTCGGGTTTGGCATGGCAAGCGAGGAGCCTCTATAGGAGGACCAAGGAAGGAGGGGAGGGACGCCTGGCCGAAGAGTCCCCCAGGCATTTCCGTCGAAAGCCCAGCCCGCCAAACTGGACGTCACGCAATCAATACACTTCCAAGTTGGAGACTGCTTGCAACTGCCATGACTCAGGGCTTCCCTTCTTAATGGTCTTGCCAAATGACAACCCCCAGTATTATGTCGCATTGAGCAGGTGAAGCGTCTCCAAGGAAGGGGACCAAGCTTGGCAAAAGAGCTCCTGCCCTTCACAAACTAGGGCCCCTCTCACACAGCTCAATAAAACCCCACATGATCTGCTTTGAACTGGAATATGTGGCAGTGTGGACTCAGATCACCCAGTTCCAAAGCAGATATTGTGGGATTTTCTGCCTTGATATTCTGAATTATATGGCTTCAAAACATGGACTGTCTATAGACGTCACAGAATAGGGCTCCACAGCCACCTACAAACCCACAAAAATAGTCATCAAGGAAGACCATCTTACACGTCCAACGAGGGATCGCCTAAGTAAGTAAGGAAGTAAGTAAGAATAGACGTCACACTCAACTCCTGGAAGGATTCCATCAGTGTTGCCTCTGAAAAATCCTGCAAAGCTCTTCAGAAGACAGGCAGACAACTGTCAGCGCAGGCTTGTAGCGGGGGGGGGGGGGGGGGGGGTGGGGGCTTCAGCCCCCCCCCCAAAATTCTCATGGTGGTTCGCGAAAAGGCCTTGTTGTTCATTCGTTCAGTCGTCTCCGACTCTTCGTGACCTCATGGACCAGCCCACGCCAGAGCTCCCTGTCGGCCGTCACCACCCCCAGCTCCCTCAAAGTCAGTCCAGTCACTTCAAGGATGCCATCCATCCATCTTGCCCTTGGTCGGCCCCTCTTCCTTTTGCCTTCCACTTTCCCCAGCATAATTGTCTTCTCTAGGCTTTCCTGTCTCCTCATGATGTGGCCAAAGTACTTCAACTTTGTCTCTAGTATCCTTCCCTCCAAGAAAAGGCCTTACTGGTGCATTATTTAAACTGTTATGTTTATTCATATCATGATCTGATCACCATACTCAATATATCCCATATGCATGGGGGTATTGTGGTAACGATACAAAAGGTTTGCTAGGGTAGACCCTCTTTCACTCAGACTCAGCCCTAACCAATCAAAATCCTGGCTATGGGCCTGGTGAGGTACACGGCCCCGCCACTCAGACTCAGCCCCCCCCCCCAAACAAACTCAGCCCCCCCTCCCCCGAATCGAAATCCTGGCTACGGGCCTGTGTCAGCGTGCTGGAAGAAGCAAAGACCACCAGCACTGAAGTGATGCTCCCACACCATCAACTCCGCTAGACTGGCTTGGTTGTCCGAATGCTCGATCACCACTTCCCAAAGCAGTTACTGTACTCCCAACTCAACAACAGGAAATGTACTGTTGGTGGACAGGAAAAGAGATTTAAAGATGGGCTTAAAGCCAATTTCAAAAACTGTGGCATAGACACCAAGAATAGAGAAGCTCTGGCCCTTGTGTGCTCTAACTGGAAGTCAGCTGTGACCATCAGTGCTGCAGAATTTGAAGAGGCATGAGTGGAGAGTGAAAGGGAGAAATGTGTTAAGGGGAAGGTAGGTAAAAGGTTTTCCCCTGACATGAAGTCTAGTCATGTCCGACTCTGGAGTGTGGTGCTAATCTCCATTTCTAAACCAAAGAGCCGGTGTTGTCCATAGTCACCTCTGAAGTCATGTGGTCGGCATGACTGCATGGAGCGCCCTTCCCACCAGAGCGGTACCTATTGATCTACTCACATTCGCATGTTTTTGAACTGCTAGGTTGGCAGAAGCTGGGGCTGACAGCGGAAGCTCACGCTGCTCCCTGGATTCGAACCTGCAACCTTTTGGTCAACAAGCTCAGCAGCTCAGTGCTTTAACCCACTGCACCACTGGGGCCACGAGGAAGGCACATCAAGCCAACCCTGACCAGGACCGCCTTCCACTTGGAAACCAATGTCCTCACTGCAGGAGAACATGTGGATCAAGAATAGGGCTCCACAGCCACCCATGGACCCACCATCAAGAGGACCACACCTTGGAGGACCATCATTCTCGAGCTAGGAGGGATCGTCTAAGGAAGGAAGGATATGGCTGTGTGGAAAGCCCCTAGGAAGCAGGATTTTGCCTTTCAAAGGCAAGGTGCCTCAAAATATGGCTGGATCTACACTGCCCTATATCCCAGGATCTGATTCCAGATTATTTGCTTTATATGAGGCCCCTTTCCTACAGCTGTATAAAATCCACATTGAACTCAGGCCCCTTCCACACAGCTGTGTAAAATCCCACATTATCTGTGTTGAACTGGACTCAGATCACCCAGTTCAAAGCAGATATTATGGATTATCTGCCTTGATATTCTGGGTTATATGGCTGTGTGGGAGAGCCCTATGTAACACAAGTTTTGTTCCTGGTTTCTAAATGTAATTTCCTAATTGGTTCTAACATTAAAACATGGGAAAATTTATTAAGCTGCCAAAACCTTGTTTTTGTGGGATGTCTTGCAGCACATTTTGCTATGGCTTTTCAATTAATATCTGCTAAAATCACCAATTCAACATCATTTGTGGCAGCCACAAAACCAAGTTTTTGGAGTATAGCAACAACTTTCAAAGTAAGTACTTTGCACAATTAATCCGGAAATAACACTTTCAAACCAGGAACGGAAAATTATTTCAAATATTGTTACGTAGTGCTGTGTTTCAAAGGCAAGATGCCTCAAGCTAAGTTACCCAAGCAGTGTCAGCATTAAACATTAGAGGTCAGGGCTGTCAAATTCATTTCCCTCCAGGGCCGTATCAGCCTTAAGGTTGCCTTCAAAAGGCCCTTGAATCCCTAGATAGAGAATCCATGGATACAAAAGGTCAGCTATATATTTTTTATAGCTCTTAAGTTTTTTACCCAATTTGGGTCACTGGATGTTATTGGGTGACCTACAAGAAGCACTGCCTGAACATCAAGCAAAAGGTGGGCGCTAGAAACAATATCATACGAAAGCTGACTGGCACAACCTGGGGATCACAACCAGACACAGTGAAGACATCTGCCCTTGCGCTATGCTACTCTGCTGCTGAGTATGCATGCCCAGTGTGGAACACATCTCACCACGCTAAAACAGTGGATGTGGCTCTTAATGAGACATGCCGCATTATCACGGGGTGTCTGCACCCCACACCACTGGAGAAATTACACTGCTTAGCCAGTATTGCACCACCTGACATCTGCCGGGAAGTAGCAGCCAATAGTGAAAGGACCAAGGCAGTGATCTCTCCAGCCCATCCCTTGTTTGGGTATCAGCCAGCACGTCAACGAAATAGTTTTCTAAGATCTACAGAGACACTTGCTGGAACACCTCAGCAAGCGAGAGTCCAAAAGTGGCAGGCTCAAACCCAGAACCTCAATCAATGGCTGATACCAAATGAGAGACTCCCTCCTGGGCTCACAGAAAACTGGGAGACTTGGAAGGTGCTGAACAGACTGATCTCTGGCACCACGAGATGCAGAGCCAACCTGAAGAAATGGGGCTACAAAGTGGAATCCACGACATGCGAGTGTGGAGAAGAGCAAACACAGACCACCTGCTGCAATGCAACCTGAGCCCTGCCACATGCACAATGGAGGACCTCCTTGCGGCAACACCAGAGGCACTCCAAGTGGCCAGATACTGGTCAAAGGACATTTAATCAACTACCAAACTTGCAAAGTTTGTGTTTTGTCTTTCTGTTTGTTTTGTTTTGTTCTGTTAGAAATGTAATACAATTGTCTGGTTGCCCCTGACACGATAAATAAATAAAATTGGGTGACAACTGCCATCATTTTTGATTATCCACTGTGCAGACTGGGCATCATTGGAATGGCAGCCCAACAGCCCAATGACTCTGAGGTTGGAGAAATAACACTTTCAAACCAGGAACAGAAATATTTCCAAATTTTGTTAGATAGTATTATTGGATCATCAGAGCCCCCAGTGGCACAATGGGTTAACCCTTGTGCCAGCGGGACTGCTGTCAGGTCAGAGATTCGAATTTGAGGAGAGTGGGTTGATCTCCCTCTGTGCACATTAAGAATAGTTTTGTGACCCTGTTTGGCCCCATACATGCTTGAAATACTCCTAACTTTTCTATACAGTTTTTCTGTATATGCTGCATGAACCAGCACATTGGAACTCCTCCCTCCCTCTGAGTTTCTTCATTTTTCAGCTTTGTTTATCAG